CCTACCTAGGATGCCAGATTGATCGCTCGTTGCGAATGACCCCTATGGTCGATCACGTAGTGGTCCAGGCCAGAGTCGCACGAGCGAAATTATACCCAATACTGGCATCCACACTCCCGTTAAAAACAAAAACATCTGTTTACAAGACCTACGTTCGCTCACGACTGACTTACGCAGCGCCAGCCTGGTACGCGCTAACATCGACCACACAGCGTAAGAGGCTGCAAGCCCAGCAGAATCTAGCGCTCCGGACGATCGTGGGAGCAGGCCGCTATGTGAGAAATTACCTCAAAGCCAGGGACCCTAAAATCGAGCCTATACATGAGTTTGTGGCCCGTACAGCGAGAAGGTTGTTCGACCGTGCAGACAACGGGCCACACCTTCGCCTTCAAAATTTGACCTCCTTACATGCACGCCCACCTGATGTGCGGCCACTACCACGAGAAATCCTACTCTCACCGCCCGGCGAGGGAGCCGCCGGGGACGAGTGAGTATTCCCGACACCTAGCCTGATGGCGTGAAGTGCGCAACACTCCAACCAACAAGCTGCGTGGCAGCACCCAGTACCGGGGGAGCCGTGCCCCCCCCCCCCGCGATGACGTCCGGGTAAAGAGGGTAACCTTGAAACCCGCAGACCCTTTCAGGGAGAAGACACATTACCTCGCAATTCGTTGATTGACCTACGCAGCGCTAGCCTGATACGCGCTGACATCGACCACAGAGCGCAAGAGGCTGCAAGCCCAGCAGAATCTAGCGCTACGGACGATTGTGGGAGCAGGCCGCTATGTGAGAAATTACCTCAAAGCCAGGGATTCCAAAATCGAGCCTATACATGAATTTGTGGCCCGTACTGCGAGACGGTTGTTCAACCGCGCAGTTAACGGACCACACCTCCACCTGCAAAACCTGGCACCTTTACATGCACGCCCACCTAATGGGCGGCCACTCCCACGTGAACTCCTACACTCACCGCCCGGCGAGGGAGCCGCCGGGGACGAGTGAACATTCCCAACACCTAACTTGATGGCGTGAAGTGCGCAACACCCCTACCAACAAGCGGCGTGGCAGCACCCAGTACCGGGGGAGCCGTGTCCCCCCGCGAAGACGCCCGGGTAAAGAGGGTAACCTCGAAACCCGCAGACCTCCTCAAGGAGATGAAACATTACCTCGCAATTTGTTCTGAAGTCGCGTCCGGACCGCGTTCGCCGCTGATCACGTCCGTCGGTCGTCGGCTTCCGACCGGGAGGGAGAAGTACAGCACGTCGCTTCGCAGTGGGTGTACGTGCCGTGAGGCAAACTCGGCTTGCGTCGAGCCTCGAGGATATCCCTGACCCCTCCCGGGACGTTCCATCCTCAACACTGCGTGTCAGCTAATATTCTGGAAAGCGAGCTCCGGAGGCCCGGCGTGCTGCTATCAGGAGAGCGCGCGCCGTTGGTGACATCGGGTCCGCGTCGAGATCCATCTCCGCGGGACCTGGAAGTCTCTGACTCTTCGGCAGATCCCTTCCCAGAGGTGCGAGATACGCCAAGTATGCCTAGGAACCAGCCAGGCCATCACCTAGAGCTTGGGAGGAGCACCTGAGGCCCGGAATGATGCTATCAAGAGCGCGCACCTGTCGGCAGGATTGGCCCTGCGTCGAGACCCGACCTCGGCGGGAGTCCCTGGGGCTTTGAGACTACTGACCTTTCGGAAGCACCTACCTAGCGGGGCGCAATACGCCAAAGAAGAGTACCTACAATGCCGTTCCTGTACGGCTTTTAGGACCGGCCCATAGAAATGGTCTGTGATGATTGCCCGGGTAATGGAGTATGCTCCGAGGCCCGAAACCTGCAAGGATAAATAACAGTAGTCCTTTGCAGACGACAACGTACGCTCGCAATTTTTTCGACATCTCCGACAGTTAAATTCGATATTTCCACAAAAAGATTCGAAAACTTCCACGGTAATCACATTTCTCAAGAATTTCAAGAAAATTGCTGTTTTATTCCCAGTGTCAACCCTAAAAGTTAGGGAAAGTGAAGTTAATATACAGCCTACATATTTCTTCCAGGTCTAGACCGAGACCAAACGTGGGCCCGTAATCTCAGGCATCAACCACCTTTTAAGATTAGGCGTGTGTTAGGCGTTGTTTCGACCCAACGTAGTGTGGCATAGATCAACGATTTAAGAACTGGACATCTCGCCGGATTGCTGTAGTGACAGCCAGCGTTAAGAATTTTGGCTGATGGTCCTTCGGAGTTAAGGGTCACCGATTCAGAAACGCCCACGTTCCTATTTAATAGTAATTCCAAATTCTCGCAAATTTCCATTCAACTTTATAATTTGTGATTCCCTTGCCTATAAAGGCACAGAGTTAGGCATGAGACCGATATGACAAAATATAACTGATAACGTTATGTTACCAAAATAACATATTAAATCGATAAACCCAAATACAAAACTGTTATCACATATCCAACAAAAACAACTACCTAACCAACGTACGAAAACGAAACCGAAACGCATAACGCAAACTGTGGAACGATCACACGTTTTCCTACGTTGATATTCATCGCTTCTCGTTCTTGCAACGACACCATAAATAAGTATAGAAAAAGATGAAGCGAATATGGATTTCATTGGGATATTTTGGTAATTATCACACTACAACGGTGCACATCGTAAAATATAATCACCTAAAGCAATAAGGTCGAATTTCAAATGGTTAAAAATTTCTAAATAGTAAGTTTGTGTAGTTGTGAGAGTTATCAAATTTTAAATGTAAGTAATAAAAAAGTAATAAAATTTAAATTTTATGTAAATTTTATTTATTTTATTAAAAAAAATGTGTTTAGGTCATTAGGCATAAGGATTTGTATGCCCATATTATATTTTATTTATGTTTTGGATGGAAAGTTTTGAATTTGAATTTTTTTCAAAACGCAACAATTACGCGCTTGACCATGGTGGCGCGTGCCGCTCTCTCGGATATTTTCTATATAAATATTAATTTTGACACTACGTTCGTGTTTTTATTTGAAATATTTTTTGTATTTTGTACATTAGTTTTAATTTAGACAGTTATGTGTACAACGACAATAATTTAGTATAGTTTGATTTAGACTCCCTAAATCATTTTTGTAAAGACTTTCAAAATGTTGCGTAACTTTTAGTTAAGTATGGTCTAACTTTGATAAACAAAATAATTTCGTGTTCTTACCTTGCTGTTTGTAAATATTATCAACAAACGCTGTTCTATAAATCTAGTACTGGGAACTTAAGTTCAAATCCAAGAAAGTTTTCTGCTAATCTTAAGCCTAGTTACGCATTAAGAATAATCGCCAACTTAAACAATCATTAATAAATAGACTACCTTTAATAATCTAACTAATTCGTAAAATGAATGTTTTGCACTGGTTTTACAGTTTGCGGTTATATTTTGGTTGTCGTTTGAGCATTCAGTAGCAAACCATTACATCGATATCTGAAAAGGGTTTTAAATAACGATATGAAAAGTCAATATCGGTTATGTAACCGTTGCAGAAAAAAAAACTGAAAATGCCCCGGTAGTACTTCAAAATATGCGTTATTATCGGTGCCATCTTAATTTAAGGTATAACAATGAACAAAATTGAAAAAAAAAATTGGTCCTACGCTTAATAATATAGTTTCGGATTATTAAATATACTTTATTATATATATTTATGATATTTTAGATTATCAACTTTTTTAACTATCTTTTATTACTGGTAATGAACTAGGCTTATACGGAAATGAAAAGGATAGAGACGGGAATTACGAAGACGAGACGGTAATTAACAAATACGAAATATGTTTATTTTTATAGATTACCAAATTAATAATAATCAAATATAAGTGGAAAAGATATAAAATAATTCAAAATATTGTCTTTAAAAATGCGATTAAAATATTATAATAAAAAGCGTTTTAAATATAATTAATATCAAATAATATAGTGTATGTACTATTAAAGGAACAGGAACACGGCCAACGCATAGATGTATATAATTTTATATACGTACGTATATAATCTTATATAAATTACGTGTACGTTGTTTGTCCGCGATGGACTCCTAAACTGCTTAACCTTATATTTTTTTAGAATATTGTTTGCATAATTCTTATAAATAAAATTAAAAAAGAATTGCTCTAAAAAACAAAAAATAAAAAGTAAGTTTGTTAGCTCCGGCGCACGACTGAAGTTTACTCCTTACGAACGATTATAAAATACATATAAAGATTAGTAAATGTGGGTAAATGAACGCATTTTTATACTACTGAAAGCATGCATGATACATTTACTTATATTAATTTTGTAATTTATATTCATCAAAATATATTACATAGTCATGGAAGCGTAAATTGTTTACGTTTCAAATACTACGTTATGTAGTCATGGAAACATGAAAACAGCGTCCACCGAGATCACATTCGCATGAGTCCGTACCGTAATAGACAATAGACACTCGCCTGCCTTGTCGTAGTCCGAGTCCCGTTATAGTCTCGAGTATTAACAAACAAAGATAAAAAGACTGCGGAATAGTGTAGTTAAAAAGGACAGAATATATTATTACACAACACGAGTGCGCGTCACGTTACTTTTATGTGCATTGAAATTCGGTTCAAATTCAAATGACTGACAAACTAATGATTTAGGCAAAGACGACCCGAGTTGAGCGCCCAGTAACTACAGTCTATGGCAGCAAAATACGAGTACGACGCGTAGGCATAGAGAGACTAGATGGATCGAGTATTTTAAAAGTTGGAATAGGTGCAACCTAGTCTCGTTAAATACTTAGTCCCTGGATCTGTTCTAGTATATACGCTTCATCTCTAGTCAACGTCATAACATAACTGACAGTTATAAATGACAACTAACATAAACAGCCTTTGTTTTGCATTTGTTATGTAGACCATGTGAGAATTTTAAATAAACAAAATATATCATAATTAGTGCAATACCTATTTTGTAATAATATAGTATTGTTCCTTTTCAAAAATGGAAGTGGAAAATATAAATGTCGATGACTTTTTGCCTGCAAAAAAGACAGTAAAGTTGAAGAATGTGAAACGGCGGGCAGTCTCTGAATCGGGTGATGGAATGGAAGTAGAAGAACACAATGGAATTCAAGGAAGAGCTAAACTAGCAAAACCGAAAGCTAAAAGGACAAAAAAGAATGCAGAACCTAATGAAAGTAAAGTAAATATGAGAAAAGTTGCAGTCCCAGCACACAGGTATAACCTCAAAACTTAAATCTAGTAAATTTAGTTTTCACTTCCATTATACCAAAGCTATTTGATTTTTTTACTATTAATACTAACAAAAATGGAATTAAGGCTGAGCACTACATAATGTTATATTATTATAATTTAATTCTGTTATTTTTAAGTTAAATAATACCATTGTGTGATTTTTATAATGCACCTGACATTGCCGGTGTGTAATGAAAGTTGCACACAATCAATACATTCGAAGGTGCCTCCCCCAAGGAATACTACAAAACATTGTCTGGTATGTCTTAGAAGGTTGTAACTCCATCTAGTGGGGATATTATTTTTCCAGAGATATTGTAGAGTTTAGGCTTGTTTGTTATTGCAGCCTAGTGATACCTTTTTAAACCAGACTATTCATATCCCCTACTAGCTGTGCCCCGCAGTTTCACCTGTGTATATCAACATGTCTGAACCATGCAGCATAACATGACACCTATTTCAAACATTTTAGATAGCAATGTATGGAAAAATTGGCTAAATTACTGGAGTACTTTTACAAAGCAAATACATTAGCCGTCCGATGAGAACTGAAAGAAAACAGCATTGTAAGCTTTATGAGAAAATGCAGTTGAGTTTATAAGATACTGCTTGCCATTTCATATTTTAGTTTTCCTCTGTCTCTATTATGACAACCCAGTGGGTGATATAGGGTAGTAAGTTGTCTTACCTTGCCACAATACAAAGCTGCGTTAATTACTGGGTAGGAGGGGAATTCTGGATGTAATAAATTATAGATAGATAAGATTTGTTGGTAGCTGAGCTACTGCAGGCAATAGACAAATTTGTCTCAGGAGTGAATAGGTATTTCAAGGATGTGTGTAGTCTACCTATATATGTTGAAGTAGTGCAGCAGACTGACCAACCATTACCCTAAGGAATAAAAAGGGACCCATGTACAGCCTGTATCTTTACTTTGTATGTATTTTTACTGTATTATTACTTAAATTATATTCTATAACATAGCTGTAAGAAAAATTTGTTGACATGACTCCAATTACGAGTGAGAATAGTTGGTTTTTCACTTTTATGGTTTCTTCCACTATATAGACAAATTGTTTTGTCTTGCATTTAAGAGTAATAACTCTAATTTCCTGATTTCTTCACTTACACTGTTCATTATCTTAATTATCAGTCTGTAAAAAATCCCTGCTTGGCATTTGTATCTTCCATTGAAAAATAAACAGTAATTGCATTAATTTACTTTAAAGTGACAGTAGCCTGACTGGTTACGGTAATTATTCCATATGACCATAAAACTTAAAGATTGTGGGTATGAATTTGCCATTTGATTATTATTGTGAAGCACTCTTAACACAAGTCTTATAAGCTTAAGTGGTGTGGTTAACAGGAGTATTTTTCTAAGTTTTATATTAATGTTAAAGACTCCTTGTCTCTGCACTTATGGCATAGCGAGCACGCCGTGCTGTAAGTGCGACAGAGAGCTCTAAATGCAACAGGAGTCGTCCCGTTTCCCCATTTTATAATAATAATGTCCTCCAGACAGAATTTCGGCCACGGCGACCTGCCTCAACGGAGGCTAGCCATCATTGCAGGACAGGATTATAGTGCCCAAGTGTATGCGCAAGCACAGGTGCACTCTCTATTCCCTCACTCTCGTAATCCGATGGGACGGTAAATGGACACGACAGGGAGAGAGATCAGGCGCAGGACCAACGGTTTTACGTACTTTCCGAGGCATAGGGGTGAGACACCGCCAACTTCCTGACTCCAGGCAGCTACTGAGAATTTCTTGACAGAAAAACTCAATAACTGATTTTTTGGCCCAACCCGGGATTCGAACCCAGGACCTCATGATCAGCAGTCGCACTACTAAACCCACTAGACCAACGAGGCAGTCTCCAACTGGTCCGTCGTAGTCCGTCCGTCAGTCGATGGCTAGTCTCCGTGGCCGAAATTTGGTCTGGAGGTCATTATTCCCCATTTTATTGCACCGCAGGCAGCAAGTCTTTAAGATTAGTATAGTTTTCTTTTTGAATAAAAATAAATTATGTCGCATTTGTAAAGCAGATTATAGAGTGAGTTGTTGATGCTGCTATAGTGCCCCATTGCCCCTTTGCAAGTCTATAGTTTGTACATATGTACAAAACTCTCACATCTCTCACCCAGAGGTATTGTGAGTACTATGGACTTCTAATTTGGCATGATCCTAATGATCTCTTACATCTAATAATTTAAAATATATTTACAGATATACACCATTAAAAGAGAACTGGCTCAAGATATTTACACCAATAGTAGAACATCTTTTGCTACAGGTACGGTTTAACACAAAAACAAGAAATGTAGAAATAAGAGTTGGGCCAGAGACTAAAGATATAGCAAATTTACAAAAAGCTGCAGACTTTGTAAAGGTATTTTTTTTTGATGATATATCGTAAAAATTATTTTTAAAATCTTATCTTACGTTGACATTGTTACTTATTATATTATATTTTTGTTTCAGGCGTTCATTTATGGTTTTGATGTTGAAGATGCATTAGCTTTGCTACGACTAGATGATTTATTTGTGGAATCTTTTGAAGTAAAAGATGTAAAGACACTTCAAGGAGATCACTTGGGTCGTGCTATTGGTCGATTAGCGGGGAAAGCAGGCAGAACAAAGTTTACAATAGAAAATGTTACGAAAACTAGAATAGTTTTGGCAGACTCAAAAATTCATATTCTAGGTAGTTACCAGAATATTGCACTGGCAAGGAGAGCCATATGTAATCTTATTATGGGATCACCCCCATCAAAGGTGTATGGCAATTTGAGGAATGTTGCTAACAGAGTTGCTGAAAGATTTTAGTTTTGAATAAATTTTTATTTATTATTTGTTTTTTTATTCCAGCCATATCATAAATTAATAATAATAATAAATTGCTCTAAACTCTCTCAGAAATAAGAGGCCTATGCCCAGCTGGGGGATGTGTATAATTTAAATACTTTTAACACCAGTGTCAATATACAAAAAAAAAATTGAGTATTTGTAATCATGATGTACTTTAGGGATTTTAAATACTACAATTGACTTGAGATAATAATGAATTACTTGGTTTTTTATTAACCATATTTATTTATAAAAAATCTATTTTTGTGATCAGATTTTATTTTCAAATTAGTTTCCTACAATCTAATTACTAGAGAATATGGATTTCACCGAATACAAATATTCGGCCGAAAGTTCGGTAAAACTTTTACCGAACCGAATATTCGGCCGGCAGGATCACCTCGGTACCTAACCAATTTATGTCGTAACTTGTTACCGTAAACCGCACGGGATTAGTGCGGGACCCTGCCCCTCGCTCCCCCGCCTCACCTGACACGTTATTGCATCATCTAGTGCTGAGCAAATTGCCGGTACATGCTATGTTTGGACTATTTTAGTGAGAAAAAAAGTATTTCGTTCTTATCATTCTTAGTGAAAATTGATAATTATATGATAAAAATGAGTGGCAAAAAATCTACTATTTGGATTTATTTTAGAGGAACTGACGACCAAAGTAAAGTGAAATGTACTAATGTAATGTAATTCTTTGTTTTATTCCAAAAACAATCAAGCTTTCTATATGCTATAATTGAAAATAAATCTACAGGGCCTCAAAAACATAACGCTATAAGTATATTTTACCCATAAATAAAATATACTTTCAACAGTAAAATTATGATAGACATGGCAATACTCAATTCGTACGAGGGTGGATTGAAAAGTACTCGGCCTAACCAAGAAAATAAACACATACTAAATCAGTTATATTTTTATTTTTCTACATCATCACCATCAAGTTCAATACACTTTTGCCACCTCCCCTTCCAAGCATTTAGACCGTTGAAAAAAAATGATTCTTCCTTAGAGTCAAAATATGCGTCTACAGCTGCTTTGACCTCGTCGTTTGTCGAAAATCTTTGACCTCCCAAGTGCTTTTTTAGGTTAGGGAACAGAAAGAAGTCTGATGGTGCCAGATCAGGTGAATACGGTGGATTCGGTAACAGTTCAAAGCCACAGTTGTGAATTTCAGCCATTGACTGTACTGACGTGTGAACACGGGCGTTATCTTGATGAAACAGGACTTTTCTTCTGAGCATTCCTCGACGTTTTTCTTTTATTTCCTCTCGTAAACGACGTAGTAAGGTGCAGTAGTAATCAGAGTTTATAGTCTGACCCCTTTCAAGATAATCAATCATAATCACACCTTTCGAGTCCCAGAATACTGAAGCCATCACCTTATTTGCCGACAAAATCGACTTAGCCTTTTTAGGGGTGGTGAACCAGGTCTTCTCCACTGTTTTGATTGTTGTTTTGTTTCCGGTGTACAGTAATGAACCCATGTTTCGTCCATAGTAACAAAACGATTCAAAAAATCATCTGCATCGGCTTCAAATAACTCCAAACAGTCGCGTAAAATAGTCAATCGCGTCCTTTTTTGTTCAACTGAAAGCAGTCGCGGAACCCACCTCGCAGACACCTTGTGGAAACCCAACTCGTTGACAATGATGTTTTGAGTTCGTTCATAAGAGATGCCTATAATCTCGGCTATCTTTCTAATTTTTAATCTGCGGTCTCCCATTATTAAATCAAGTACTTTTTTTAATATTTTCGTCAGTAGTTGACGTCGAAGGCCTTCCAGAGCGGGGTTCATCTTTCACACTCTCTCTACCACGCTTAAATTCTGCTATCCATTTTTTAACGGATGAATATGACAGAGCACAATCCCCTAATGTACTGACCATGTCATCATGGATGGCTTTTGAAGATAGCCCCTTCTTATGGAGGTACTTAATGACGGCACGCTGCTCGATTTGCTCCATTCGCGGAAATTATGTCCGATTACTTTGTTAATAAATTTATAAAATCACAACTAATTATCACACACGTTTCGAACTTCACACAATGAACTAGTCTGAACTTAACTAAATAATGTGGGTAGATTTGATTTTTAGAATTGAATGGATCTCTGTTAGGCCTAGTACTTTTCAATCCACCCTCGTACATTTCAATACAGTGGACACTTGAGATTGAGTACTACTTTAACGAATGTTCGGTGATTTAACCGAATATTCGGTAAAGCTGCCGAATATGCCGAATACCGAGTATAAAACGAAAATTTCTTAAACCAGAAAACGAATATTGGGCCCATCTCTACAAATTACATGGGGAACTTATCGTCGTTAGTTCAATAAACCTGAAATAAGGCTGGTGTCATAAAGGACTGGGCTTTAATAAACATATTTTTACTTCAGGTGTTAAAAACAATCCTTTGTGTAGAATCTTCACGAGGCACTAGAAAATGTCAGCCCATATTCTAGTTGATTGCTTAAGAGTTAAGTACTTTGGATCACTGAAGTTGCTCTCCAAGGTGATTGTTAACCAAGCCATGCACACATTTGATCGTACAATACCATCCTTCCGTTTGCCAAGTAGTGCGCTAATTAGATCAGAATTATGTAAACGTGTGTACCTATGAAAAAACTATTTTTTCGTTTTAAACAAAACCAAAGACACTATGCAATAGATAATAGTATCAAAGACAAAGATATGCTCTTTTATTTTAAACCATAACCTGGCAATGTTTCTTAGAAAAAAAAAGAAATCACTCTGAACTTTCGGCGTTCCACGTGTCGTTTTGATGAAGGTGCTCCGTCTTTTTTATAGAATTTTATATTTGTGTCTGGACTAAAAACGAAAGTATTATACTTTTTTATATTCCTTGTAATATAGTAAACACGTAGATATATAATTTGTGGTATAAAAAGTGAAAAGTAAATTGCCAAAAGTACTTCAAAATCCGGAAGCTCTATTTTGGCGGTTGGGTCATAAATGTGTTATTTTCCAAATTCTCATTTATTTTTAGTGTAAAATGTAAGTAAAAATAGTTTTCTTACATATTTCAAATAACTTGACGTTGTATTTATTTCAAATTCACACAAAAATATGTTTGAAATATTGTTCGAAATGTCATACAGATAAAATATTATTATTATTTTTTTTTTAATTTTTTAATATTTTGGTATGAGTAACGAATGGAAACACATAAAACATAAAAATATACATATTTCCAAACATTTTCATATAAATTTCTCTAAAAACAAAAGTGTAGAATTCAAATTAGTAGTAATTTTGTCACTAAAATTGAAGTATATACTACTACTATGCTATACAGGGTAATTTACGTATTTTATTACAATTTCTAGCAACCAAAAATAATTTTATTCGATAGTTTATACATTCAACAAGAATTCCTGTAAGTTTTATCCATAAATATTGTCTCAAAGTGAAAATATAGCAAAATTTGCAATATAGCAAAAAATTTGCTAATTTGCAAATTTTCCCGCCATTACGGTCCCGAGCGAACGGGAGTATAACATGTCGCGCGCTCGCTTGGCGAACAGGTTAATATTAATACTAAGATTCCTCGAAATCAGGTGGCTCAAATATTCAATGTCTGCTCATACATATAATACGCATTTAGACGTCATGGATTCACCATAACTTTCGTTGCGACACCTGGCAAATTCTTGGAGAGGTTTACATCAGCATTAGGTTTATAATAGCTGTTGATGTAACTAACATCGTCAATGTGAAGATTCAATCAGAGGTAATTTCAATTGTCGTGTCTGTAAATATTCATCTTAATTGAATCCTGGAGAGGATTGGAACAAAGGACTACACTTAATTTCTATATTTGTTGAATAAGTGGTTTTTAAGTTGGTGAATACTACGTGCTGAAACAAGTCCCAGAAGTCTGCCTTATAAATCTGCGGTGAGTCTAGACAAAGATAAGTTAAACACGCTTGCAAGACCTGAAGACTGCAGAAGACGGTTCTCAGGGGTCTTGAGGATAATGACGACGTCTGGAAGTTGTAGTTTCCGAAGGCTGTTGTTTGCGTGTTCATATCACGTCAGTTGGTCACCAGTGTGGCCATGACCAGTGACCAGTTATGGAGTGCAGATGTAGTTGTGGTGGTATGTAGGTATGATACCTGCTGGCGAAATCCGTTACCGGAATAAGGGACTAAGTCACAGCTTAACAATTTTATATTTAACACCACAAGAGTTTCACATAAAGAAGTAGAAGACTATAGATACAGTCACAATATACAGAAGATGTAAGCAGAAAGTACAGTATAGAATTACGAGTATAAAATAAGAAGTTAACACTTAAATAATTTACGATTGTTGCAAAGTTAAAAATTTTTGTTCTCATTCTTGGCATTAAAATCATCATCATTACAGCCCTTCACAAGTCCACTGCTGAACATAGGCCTCCCCCAAGGTATGCCACAAAGCACTGTCCTAAGCCACCTGCATCCATCGACTTCCTGCATGTCTTACCAGGTCGTCACTCCATCTAGTGGGGGTCGCCCTACACTACGCCTATTGGTAAGAGGCTGAAACTCGAGAACCTTCTCCCTTTCTTCGAGCTATATGGCCGGTCCATTGCCACTTCAGCTTACTAATCCGTTGGGCTATGTCAGCCACTCTAGTTCTACTGTGGATATCCTCATTCTAAGTTTATCACGCAGAGAAACCCCGAGCATAGCCCTCTTAATAGCTCGTTGAGCGATCTTCAGCGTTCTCATACGGCTAGCAGTATGAGACCACGTCTCAGATCCGTAGGTCAATACGCATTGGTTGTACACTCAAGTTTTCAGGTTTTGAGGTATACTTGACAAGGCGTGTCGTAATTTCCCGAACGTTGCCCACCCTAATTGAATCCGTCGATTGACCTCTCGGTTTAAAATAATTTAAATTAAATGCTCCCTTCTTATTGTTAATAGGAAACTGACTTTATGAAACATTTAAGTATTTGGTTTTATATAAAATTTTATGTGCCATTAAAGACTGAAGGAAAGTACCGATCTGAACTAAGTAAATTTTAGAAAAATGGACAATGAGAACAATAAAAGTGCCTTGGATACTGTGCAAATTGCTTTACGGATTAGGACTCTTATGAACCAAGAAATAGAATGAGTGTATTGAAGGTGTAACAAGGGAACCACAAGTTCAAATAAAGGACCTAGCTTTCACATTCAATTATGTATTCGCACGATATATTACACAACAGGAGTTTTATGATACTGTAGTTATAGGTCTCATAGGAAAATTATTTCAAGGGTACAATGTCACAATATTTGCCTATGGACGAACTGGTTCAGGAAAAACATACATTAGAGTACTAATTACTCAGGTTCTGATGGGGACTCCAGAAAGTTAGGTGTGATACCTCAGACTGTGGCTGACATTGATTTTGTAGAGACACAAGATAAGTTTATTTTCAAAGTAACTGTTGCTATCAGGGAGCTATACCAGGAGCAGTGCAGTATTGTCTGACAAGGAACGAGGTGTTATAGAAATAAGAGAAGATATCAACAAAAGTGTCCACTTGCCAGAAATCACAGAACTGCCTGTGACATCAAATACGGAAACAGTGATGGTTTTGGAGAGAGGTTCTATTGGCCGTGTAACTGGATCCACAGCTATGAATCAAATTTCAAGTGGAAGTCATGCTGTTTTCACGATTGTTATAACTAAGGAGAGTCGTACTGATAAGAACATTGCAACTACATAAAAATTTCATTTAGTGGATTTAGCAGGTTCGGAGCGAATAAAAAAGACGAAAGCAAGTGATGAAAGACTGAAGGTAGGCGTAAAAATAAACCAAGGCTTACTGGCTCTCGGAAGCGTCGGAGCTACATTAGTTACAGAGACAGTAAACTTACAAGATTGTTGCAGGACAGTCTTGGTTGCAACTCACTGACATTGAATGCAGTAACAAATTCTATTAATTATCATCATGATATATTATTAAATACATATACAGTGTTACATACAAACATTCTTAAATTTAACATACATTGTTGGCCTATTTGTTCCTCTATAGTAAAATTTTATATTTAAAATGGCGAGGTACTCTCGACAGCACCAATCTCGCGTCGTAGCTGAGCGAGGCAAAAGTCCACGGCTCCGCTGCACTCCATTCGGCGCAGTACACGGAGTCCTCGTGTTGTTCGTATGACTGGAGTACACCATCCTCCAGTCTGGAAAAATTGAACACAAATGAGCTTACAGCACACCTGATGATACTGTTCAAACTTGTAATCAGCATTAAATCATATAGGCGGAGATTGAAACTTACTTAACTTACTTACTTAAATACCGTTAAAGAATCGGTATCTAGCAGTTCTTATTCTAGAAATGAATACTTAATTGAAAGCCTCTAGCGCCCTTACAGTAATAATAATTTATTTGACACAGACAACAATGATTCATTATAAAATTGTTTTTTTTTTTTATATTACCCCTTAAGTATTAATGCTTATTATTGGTTAGTTAATTAAATTATTAAATATTATTGCCTTGATATTAATAAATTTGATCACCTATAAAAATCTCACAAATGTTACAAATAATTTTGATAAAATTATTCTGAGACTCAAAAACAGAACTAACGGTGACGGAGCGACACGGGCCTATGCAAACATCTGGGACGCAATAGGACGCAATACAGTATCGTGGCTGACGGCAAAACACGCGGAACGCATAATTATACTCCACCCTCAGCCTGCGCTATTCCTCTATAGTGTAGCTCACAGTGGCTGACAGTAAGCTGAAAACAACGCCAGTTCGGAGAAAAAAGAACAGTTTACAGACGGAAATTTTCACAGTAATTCTCATACAACACAAGCGTAAAATAAGAGCTTAATGCTGCTGTGTTTTTTTATATGCTGCTGAGACGCTGGCATTCCATCTTAGTGGTCATTCCACCTTAGGTGTGACAATGCATCTGCATTTTGTTTCTTAATCGAGGATAAATGTAGATGTAATCCACTTACCATCAGGTGGACTGCCCACTTGTTTGTCACTCTTATTCTATAATTAAAAAAAAACAAGTAGTCTAATAGTTTAGAGAGCCGCATGTTGGCGGGGTAAGGAAATCTACCAAACCTTTTCGTCTGTGGGTTTCGTAAAAGGCAACTATGGGAAAAGCTGAAAATATCTTATGGTTTCCGATAGATGACGGTATACTTAGATACAAAAACTAGACAGGGAGCATCATCAAGTGTGAGATCTGTGTGAAGGGTTGCCAGTCCGTGAAAGCGTTATTTGTGAAAGAGGTCCAGTCCAGCAGTGAACTTTTATGGGTTAATGAATAACAAGAAGATTCTATCAATGGAAGTTTCTTCCGAACGCGCTCTATACAAAGTTTTGTCCTATTTTGAATGTGAACCACTCATAGTCAATAAAACAATATTAGTTGCTGTAGTTTACTTGATACTCATTTAAATATATAATTTAGAGACGGTTTATTAGGTAGCGTTTGTCTTAATTGCCACAATATTGCAAAACAAAAAAAAGGTTTTTTTTCTAGTTTGAAAAAAAAAACATGAAAAAATTATGTTTTTTTCAATTCGAAATCAAAATTTGTTATGGCAGTTACTGTTAAATATTCATACTTAATAGTGTATACTAGAGATATCTAGTTCAAGAAAATGTTACAGTTTCTCAAGTGTAGATCAGAGTGGAGACAGAAGATACAGAAAATTCCGACGCGGACAGAACTTGTGTAGGAACTCATACTGAAGACGAAACTTAAATTTAATTGTATTGTTACAAGCTTGGGGTTCGTGTCAATTAAAAACTGCCGGTTGAATTACCAAAGTCGACACTTTAATTACCGAACACCAGTTACAACTTAATATACGCCAATAAATAATCACAATGGTCACTTTAGTTCGCAGTTATATCGCTTCGAAGTATTCGACAATTCATATCGCCAATTCATTATCGACCCCGGTCGCGGTCAACACCAGTCTTATATAGGACCTTTTCTACTGAAACATCTAGAATGTTCGAGTACATACCGGTCCCGACCGACTAGGTGTAGAAAATTCTAGTATGAAATTATCCTTCTTCACTCGCGGATTCTGTGTTATTCAGACGTGTCTATAGTGCAATATCAAACTTCAAAATTAACTTTGTGAAATGGGAAAAATAAGAAGTTAAATATTAGGAGTGCATATCATTTAGGCGGCCATAGAAAGTCAATCCCGCAAGAAATATAGTCAATGACAGTGAACTTTGAACAATCGCACTAGAGGCTGCAAAGGCATATAGTATTATAATTCTCTATAATAGAGCTAACTTGCAGTGAAAGAGCAGTACAATACGTCATTGGACGAAGACGAGAATAACAACGTTAGTCACCTCATTACTGACTGCACCTACTTACTCAAACAGCATTTTGCTATCCTTATTTACACTTTTGTGCTGCTTTCGCGTAGCAATTTTTATATAATATTCTACGCATATTGCGTTTTCGCTTTCACGGCTGTTTTAGCCTAAGATTTTACGTATACCGCCTAATTAATTTAATTATATTAACGATGTCGACGCAGCGGACTCCGCCCGGCTCTTGTCAGCAACTGAATATACAAAATTCTACAATGCATTACAACTCAGACTCAGCCCTTAACACGTCAAGTAACCCTGATCCGGATGACAATAATTTTATTAAGATTACAAAGAGCCTTAAACGTACGTTAGGCGATCTCCCATTTCAGCCGATGTCATCCATCTCTGAAATCAAAGTTATGTTTTCTGAGCTAAAAACTCAACAAGACCAGAAATTTGAATTACTGAATACCGCCCTCATGACCATCCTGACCCAAAATCAAGAAATTCAAAAATCTGTTGAGACTCTTACTCACCAACATCAAGATTTGTTAGCAAATATAAATCATTTAGAGCTAGAAAATAATGAATATAAGCAGCAAATCCTCACCTTAGAAACTAAACTAGACCTCCTTGAAAAATTCGCGCGGGGTAATTCAATTGAAATACGTAACCTGCCGGCACAGACCAACGAAAATAAGATAGTTCTGAACAATATAACCCATAAACTTGGCTTTACTTTGGGTCTGAATACTCCCATTCAGGACTCGGAGATAAGAAATATATTCCGTACAAAGACAGACGCCATAATAGTGGATTTCACTTCAATACTGGGGAAGGAAACTTTTCTTTTAAATTATAAAAAGTATAATAAATCCAAACGGCAAAACGGAGAGACACTATTAAACTCGGAACACATTAATTTACCTGGTAACCGCGATAATCTACATTTCAGAATACTTGACAACCAAATTAAGAAGAGTTTTTTATATAGCCCGTGAGAGTGTCAAGAACAAAAAACTATTCGCTGCATGGACTGCTCACGGTAAGATCTATGTGAAGAAAGAAGAGGTAACTAAGCCAATTCGCGTTGACAATGAATCAGAGCTATATAAACTTACTTTGTGACTAATATTTGTTTTGTCGTATTGTTTTTTCTATTTTTCTTTACTACTTAAGTTTTTTCAATATTTTTTATTAATGTATTTTTCTGTTGAATTCTACAATTACTTTTATTGTTTACTAGCGAATTGCAGACCAGCACACACATTATATATCTCAAGCAAACATTACATACATTCCACACATAATGTTCACACTGCACCTTATCAAATTTTGACACAGGAATACAACAGTACCCATACCCATTGACTCGGCTACCGATCTAATCAGATCATACAATACCTACCTTACGTCGGCTCTGGTACGGGTCGAATTAGATCAGGTCGGATCAGAAGTACTGCCTTATGAAAAAACTATTTTTTCCTTTAAAACAAAACCAAAGACAATATGCAATAGATAATAGTATCAAAGACAAAGATATGCTCTTTTATTTTAAACCATAACCTGGCAATGTCTCTTAGAAAAAAAAAAAAGAATCACTCTGAACTTTCGGCGTTCCACGTGTCGTTTTGATGAAGGTGCTCCGTCTTTTTTTATAGAATTTTATATTTGTGTCTGGACTAAAAACGAAAGTATTATACTTTTTTATATTCCTTGTAATATAGTGAACACGTAGATATATAATTTGTGGTATAAAAAGTGAAAAGTAAATTGCCAAAAGTACTTCAAAATCTGGAAGACCCATTTTGGCGGTTGGGTCATAAATGTGTTATTTTTCAAATTCTCATTTATTTTTAGTGTAAAATGTAAGTAAAAATAGTTTTCTTACATATTTCAAATAACTTGACGTTGTATTTATTTCAAATTTACACATAATTATTTTTGAAATATTGTTCTAAATGTCACACATAAAATATTATTATTGTTTTTTTTTTAATTTTTTTAATATTTTAATATTTTGGTATGAGTAACGAATGGAAACATACAAAACATAAAAATATACATATTTCCAAACATTTTCATATAAATTTCTCCGAAAACAAAAGTGTAGAATTCAAATTAGTAGTAATTTTGTCACTAAAATTGAAGTATATGCTACTACTATGCTATACAGGGTAATTTATGTATTTTATTACAATTTCTAGCAACCAAAAATAATTTTATTCGATAGTTTATACATTCAACAAGAAATCCTGTAAGTTTTATCCATAAATATTGTCTCAAAGTGAAAATATAGCAAAATTTGCAATATAGCAAAAAATTTTCTAACTTACAAATTTTCCCGCCATTAAGGTCCCGAGCGAACGGGAGTATAACATGTCGCGCGCTGTCAGA